TTTCCTTGTTTACCTACTCCCAATCTCCATGCTTCAGGTCCTGTCCTTTGCTCAACTTTCTGCAGTTCCCTTTGTGAACTATCTTCCTCTTTCTGGTGCTGGCATCCCTCTTCCTCTGTACATCCCGAAGAGTGCCTAATCCCAGTCTCCTAATTAAATCCTAGTGTCTTCCCACTCGCAGCATTTTCTGCTCAAAATCTGACCAATCACTATCTCTTTTTTGTGCACAGCCAACTAACCTTCAGATGAATTACAGACTACTTCATACATACAAGATTATCAGTCCTTTGATTATGAACAGGTATACATACTTGTAAGATGTTAACAGACATGTCCCATTATACTTGCTGTACATTTTCACTAATTTCACTTTTAACATTCTTTCCTTTCAGACTTCTAACTGGTAGCATCTTTACGTCAGAAAATGCCACATTTCTAAAAGACAGGTAGTTGCTGGAGGACTACTAATAATAAATTCCGCTTTACTGTGGTCTAGTTGCAAATCAAAGGGTGGACCATACAATATCCACAATCCAGTTCTTTGTTATGAATGAATTTTAATTAGGAATACAAAGAAACATTTGACTAAGAGGATAATTTTCCATTCTCAATCAACCTCTGTTCAATAGGCATCATTAGTAGATCAGTGAAGCCACAGTTTTAAACCCAGAAAAAGAAAAGAAAAGAGCTGAAAAGCCTGCCATCCAAAATCTGCCTTGCAATGGGCTCCAACTAGAAGGAACTAAAGTTGTTTTCTAAGATGAAAAGACTAGCAGGCAGAGAGGCTAATAATGGGTATATATTATCATGGCAACAAGACTTTATTATTGCTTTAAACTTCATTCATGTATTATATTCTTCTTGTGTTAAAAACTCTTATGAGCCTTGAAATGCTTAATGAAGTAAATCACAGTAATAGTTATGCTTTACATGTACCCATGTGAAGGGCTAAAAATACTAGCTTGTTTGAACACTTAAAAACAAAAAGATAGAAAACATTTGTGTATCCCATTCTTGAATTATATGCAGTATTCAAATCTGTGAATAACTATACTCAGAGACAAAAGCAGAGCTTGAAGACTATTTCATATTTATTACTACTAATAGTCATGGGAATAATATTTTTGGCAATGTTTTAAAAAAGATTTTTCAGCAAAGTTCTAGGAATCTAAAGTCTTAAACTTAACTCGTATCCAACCGTGTCTATAAAAAGATGCTGCACATCTTAAAGCAAAAGAAATAAAATATATTTAAAATCCGGCAGAAGAAATCGCTACATCATAAGTATTCTGGTAAAAGTAAAAATTGAATACAAACGTGCTAGTCACATAAAAAACAGAGGCTTTCCCAAGTTCATACCTGGTAATAAGGTAAACCAAACTGTTCTCTTCAATAGTTTATCATCTCAATTTTATAATCTTTCCACCTTCACCAAAAAGTTACTGTTACAATTCAATTCTGCATCTTACATTATGTTAATCACACTCCAAGTGTCCTGATGTCATCACAAATGGAAGGATTCCCTGAAGCTGACTGACAGCACGGATTATCATTATCAAGCTATTAATAGCAAGGAGACCTATTATAACCATGTACTATGTAAGCTACATTGAGAAAGGAGAGATTCATCCGACTCCCAGAAAGTTTATCTTTAGAATCCCACTCTGCTTTATTCCGGCTATCTCCTTCAAAAGTCAGTATCAGTGACTCTTTCTCCTAGGGAAATAAGCTGAGATGCCTTTACCTCTTAAGCAAGAGGTAAGATAGATTACTGATAGAGCTAAAGTATTCCCATCCTTTATGTTTCCTAAAATAAGTTACATACAAATAATTTGCAGGAGTTAATTAACAAAAAAAGAAAATTGTTATAGATTTGTCAATTACTTTACAATAATTTTTTTCTTAGAATCTCCTGCATCCCATTCCAGTTTTCCTGTAGAATTAAATCAGCTCGACGTGTTCTAGATGAATAATGGAGTAAACAAATACAAATGAATGATGTTTCAGGGATTTGTTTTGAAAATTGCTAAGAAAACCATGTTTGCCTCCAAAAAGTAGCTTCCAAGGTGAGTGAAGAGAGATAAAAGATTATTATGTGTTTCTGTTTGAATTGGAGGCCTGGGCACAATCCTTATAACTGGAAACAAAGTGCTTGTTGTTCATTTGCCGTCTTTTCAGGACGCGCACTGCAGCAGTGCTGTGAACATTTGCCTGCCAATCAGGCAGAAACCGAAACAAGGGTTACTGTAAAGGGAGCAGGTTGAGTTAAACATTAAAGGATGGCTTAAAGTGTGTGAATTTTATGCATTTCTCTTTAAGGTTTCATGTTTCCTGTAGTCATGATGCCTTAACACATTTCTTCAAATACATCTTGCCAAAGAAATACAAAATTTCTAGCATTTTAGGGGAACTATTTCTCTGTTTTATTAAAGAATTGCTTGGGGTTTGATTTTAAAAGTCCTGGGCATGTATGTTTGTAAGAAGATAGAGGAAGAAGTGAAACTCAAGCCAACTGCATGATCTTCCATAAAACTAAAATAGGTCAATTTGAGAGAGGAATTGGTTATGCTTGTCTTGAACAGAAGTGGGCTGAATCAATCAAGGGACCTGAGATTTATGTGAGAAATCCTGACTTGCGTATGCAGATCAAGATGGCGCTCCTTCATTAAAAAATATGCAGTTGTACTTATATAGTAAGACATAAAACTGTGTGATTAAACAATACTACAGTTAAAACATTTTGGAAAAAGTTATTCTAAAATTAGACAATGTGAGGACATGAAAGTTAGCAGTAATTAAAGATTAACTACATTGTTCACTGACTAAACTTACAGCTAGTGCCTTATTTAAACTGCTTTTCAATTATTCTAAATACAAAACTTCATAAAGATCTGAACTGAAGCACCACTTCAAAATATACTTAAGGCAATTGATTTATTCTGCAGAGCCAAGAGAAATACATGCCTATGCCTGGACACAAGTAGCTCCAGCTTTCTGAAACTGAAACTTCAGGTATGTATTTTTCCCCCTCTCTTACTAACAGTCAGAAAAAGAAACAGCAAGTTAGTAAAGAGAAAGAAAAATGAAAAAAAGTAAGTATGGATCTGAAAGTGAAAGTTGTTACTGCTCATAAAAGACTCAGAATATTTACAAAAATATTTCTGCTTGCATCCTACTTTGAGAAGTAAGACATAGATTACATTTTATCCTTCATTGCTTTCTTTATAATACACAATAGATAAGCCTTGTGAATGCCTCAGATTTTTTTCATTGCTATCATTCTGAACTCAGGCTGTGGAATGGATCTGAGAACATACTGATACACACACAACAAATGTACTGGCAAAAGCGCAACCGCAGCAAGTCCTTTCAGTTGCCACTTCTGGTCAGAATAGTAGTCATGGGTTGACAGGATACAAGCAAATTGGGAACAGCAGTGATCACAGTTTACAGGGGTTAGCCTTAATGAGAGCCACTTCCTTGTGTATCTACTGGAGGCATCCAGCCTCTGAAAGGTACACAGTGCCACCTCTTCCCTACCTTGTGAGGTGTATACATCAAGCTCTTTGCTGAATTAGGAAATTTTAGTTGAGTGACAGAACACGCAAAACAGCCCAATAGGCTGAAACGGAGATAATGAGAAGGAAAGTTGATTACCTTTGGACTTTGAGGGAAAATAGTTTAAAAAAAAAAAAAGTTGCAAGTGACAAATGGGATTAATCCAAGAGAGCTCTGAGGAAGAAGTCAGGGACTTCAAGGAAGGAAATGATCCATTCTCTATGTTTGTGTACAGGAAAGGCTGGGTAATATAAGGTCCCCTGGTGTCATATACCTTTGATGCTCATTTTGGAATATTTCAGTGAAAAACCCTGCTTTACTATGTTCCCTGTACCACAAGGTGGCACATACGTACTCCCTATCATTTTTAAATGCCTCTACAGTTTGTTAATCAAGTTTTAAGAAGTAACTGTTCCCATTTCTACAGAGTGAGGAGTAGGGGTGGGAGAAAAAACAGGGAAAGACAAACTACAATATAGTACCAATTATAGACAACTAAGGCAAGTAAACTGTTCTTGATGTATCCATTCCTTACAGAAAACCACAGTTTCCATATGTTTTACAAATACATTCATCAGAATCCCAACAGAATCTTTTCAGGCTGAAATGGAACATAGGCTTTGGATAGCAGGCTAGTGCCACAGCTGGAAGTAAGCATATAGAAGCGGAAAACCTGGCATATTTAGCCATTACTTGGATCCTCTACAATTTAAGCCTGCTGGTCATCCATTGGTCAATGTGCTGTATATAGGTGTTACTTGCATTGCAGCAACTTTTCATTCTCATGTTGTGAGTTTCAGGACCTAATAACTACATATGCTAAGGAAGACTGTTTCCTAGTAGTTCTTTTTCTCCTTCATGCTGATAAAAGTTGTGCTTGAATGTCAGATATCCAAATATATAGTCTTATTTTCCCCTAGTGGCCAATTAAATAAAAATCTCAGTGATTTTCTGTGCAGTTGCTCCTCTTTTATAAGTCTATGATACACAAATGCGACGCACAATCTATAATGGCCACAGCACACCCTCTCCACAGTACATAACAGGCCCACATGTTTCATTTATCCATCAGAAAGGCAGTAAGCAGAGAAAACAGTATGAATCTATCAAACTGCAAAAAAGATTTGAAGGAAAACTGAGATAAAGGTGTGTGTGAAAGAGAGGATTTATTTTTTTTTAAGGACAGAAAAATATTGACTTAAATCAAAGAACAGAAACGCTAGCTGGCACGTAAAGCAACACCATAGGATATACGTTTTTAGAAAGTAGATTCTTGGGAGATTTAAAATATAAACTATGTACATAGCTCCCTCTGATGACCACTGGACACTATACAGCACAAGTCTCCTTTTATTTTTGTTCGTGGATTCAACTGACAGCTGACTGGTTAAATTCTAATTGCTTCCAAGTGAGGTCAGCAAAGGTATTTATCGAAAAGGACTGAACAACAGGCTCAACACACACATGCATGCATAAGCACATACACACCATCTCTCTAGCGTCTTGATTTATGGAAACAATTATAATTCTGGTGGAGTCTTTCTGAGCTCAGAAAGTCTGTAGCTACAGCACAGTCTCATGTTGCAAAACGCAGACAACAGAAATGGAATACTTGGGTATCCAGCTGTTATCAACAGAAACAAGTAAGTTATCTGCCCTTACAAGAACGTTCAACAGTTAACTAATAGCTAATAGCTTTTATCTTGATTTCTATTTGTTAGACGCTAAAAAAGTGTTGACTAATTTTTCTATCAATAAACTGAAAATGAACGTATAAAAAGAAAGCAATAAGGCTCCATGTGGTCTCTCTTGAAATTTGGACTAGAGAAATGTTCTCTGATAGAATGTGGCTAATAGTGAAGATATAGGTACGAAGTAATCAGTAGTATTTTTCAGTGCATGAGAACATAGTTCAGCTGACTTACTAGGGTTTTTTTGGAAGGACTTATAACTGAACTGAAGATAGAAGTATGTTTACAATCAGTTTAAATGTCTGTTTATGTAAAAAGCTATATAAAGATATCTGTTGTATATACATTTGTGTATATTTAAAAACCAGCTTAGCATGTCATACATTTATGTACGGTACATTTAAGTAGTATAATATATTCTTGCACGTTTGTAACGACTGATCATAAAATACTTACTTACACATGCAACTTTTCTCACAGATCTTTTACTTGCAGTGCAAGCAGCAAATTCAAGTAGTACAGAAGGTCACAGCAACAAAGGTTTTTATAACTTGTGTCTTTAAAGGATATTTTGACTGAAAAGATATTTAAGAAGCTCTTCCATTTCGCCATTAACTATTAAGGAATAAGGATCAGAATTCTTAGAAGAGGGAACAATCTCATTTAAATCAATCTGTAACTCATAAAGACAGAAGGCAGGTCGGTGACCTAAGAGCAACAGTCTACTTGAGATTTAATTTTCATTATGTTGTTCATGAACACCCAGAACACTGCACTATAATGCACAAATGGATACTGACATGGATCCTGCCAATTTTGCTCTACAGATCATACTTTTACCTTATCTTTCTAATGGGCACTATATCTTTAGCTTGCAATGACATGACTCCAGAGCAAATGGCTACAAATGTGAACTGTTCCAGCCCTGAGCGACATACCAGAAGCTATGATTATATGGAAGGGGGGGATGTAAGAGTGAGAAGACTTTTCTGTCGAACTCAGTGGTATATGAGGATTGATAAGCGAGGCAAAGTAAAAGGGACAAGAGAAGCAAACAACAACTACAGTAAGTAATATCTTTTGCTATTTGCTATTTGTCTTCTAAGTTTTTAGAAAAATCACGCATCATTGTTTCCTATCCCTTAACTCACAGTAATTTCAAAATAATTTTGTATAGCATACTGACCATTGTATAAGACAAGTTTTCCAACTAATCCTACAGCAAACATTTGTTATTGATTTTGAAATGCGTCATTTTAAATACTACATTGTAGATCTGCTAATGTATTAGTTACAGCTGGTAACTATTAGCAAACAGAGAGCCTATTTTAACAAGTGAATTAAGGTTGTAAGTATGAAAATGCTTAACCACAAATTCTGCTCATAAAATACTTATGAAACATTAAACCACATTTATATAGTCCACAGACTACCTACAAGTTTAGTATGTTTGAGTTAACAATTAAAACATATGCAATACTAGAAAGTTCAATGGAAAGAATTATGTAAACTGTCTTACAAAATCTTTTAGATATTTTGCCAAGTCAGGAACAAAATCTATTATAGTTTCTGCAGTTCATTATTACAACGATCATGATGATGAAAAAATATTCTCTCCTCTTTCTTCCAAAGAGATGACTCATCTAGAGAGAATGGACATATAAAATTTTGCAAAGTCCTACCAAATACAATTTTTGAACTGGCAAAAGAATCATTGTTCTAAAATATATTTTTCACGTATATACCTGTAGAACTTTCTTTTACAACTACTTGAAGGTATCATTTCTACATTCACTATTTTTGCCAATTTGGCTTTTTTGTTATCACAAATATAGTGTATATTTGGAGTCCTTTAAAAGACTCTATATTCATTTCTTAAAATATAGCAGAAAAAAGCATAGGATTTTATTACATATTTCAAAACAAAATGACAAGGAAAAAGGGCCAGAGACATGCTGGTCTAGTGTTTACAGTCTACTGAAAGGACAAATATCTGTCCAAGAATGCAATTAAATGGAGTTTTAATGTATGTTGCACATATTACTGTGCCTTATATAACAGTTAAAAAAAAAAAAAAACTTCAAGAACTGTTAATGTGTTTCAGCTTTCAACTGAAGATGACTGCTTATTTTCTACAAAAACAGCACTTTTCAATGCTAAGTGCCTAGCTAGTGGGCTTCATAATGTATTGCTCTACTTCACGACTGCATTAAGTATTTGGCATCTTGTGTGGCTAAAACTTCATTGACTAATGTTACTTTCTTTTAAAATTTGTTTCTATATGCCTGCTTTCTTCCTACACTATTATATTCTGTAAAACCATAATGATCTGAAAGGTACCACATGGCCAGAAGCCAAATAAATTATTTGGTCCATATTCAAGACTCTCTCCAAGTTTCAGGAAGACAGTGCTAGAATAAAGACCTATAGGACTAGTTTAGAAGTGAAATGTTGCTCCCATAGACGTCCATAGAAAAACTGCTACTGACTGTTGAAATAGTTTCTTCTTTTTTTTTTTTTTTTGGCGGAGAAATTAATATCCATTCTACCCATTTTGTTCCTGTTATTATTTACACAGAAATACTTTGAAGAGATTATGTCAACATATAGAGCTAAATAATTATATAAATTTGCTTTTTGTGGTCCCATGCTGCTTAACTAAGGACTTGGTTAGTAATTGAGCATTATTTCAAAATTCAAGCAAAGACTCTCAATGCTCTGCAGGATTCCATGCTGCTGAAGCACGCTAATGATACCCTGAAATATTCTGTAGTGAAACCATTAGAGGATATCCGGTCATCTTGTGCTAAAGGCAAGCTACTTTCTTGTAGAGTTTTCTGAACACTTTATGAAGATTTACTGATGGCAATAAACTTCTACAAATTACAGGACTATTACCTTGATTCACCAAACATTTATACTGAAATAATAATAAAAACAACCTCTATAATACCTTATTTGGTAAGTATAACAGTTACCAGGAGAAAAAGAATCAAGACCTGAATGGTTTATCTGGTAACTGAGATGTGCTATGATGCGCTGAGATGTCTCTAGTGTATTTAACTAAAGTATGCGGGAAGTCTCCCACCATATTAAAGTGTCTCACTGTAATGTATCTATTGCACATGAGGAAATAATTATGGGAATGCTTTTGTTGGATAAGTAGAATAGGGAAATACAGATAAAAGGGACTGGAAAAGTCTGAACACTGATAACATTTTCTGAGGAATTCAAGAATTTAATATTGTAAAACTTATTTTTTTTTTTATCATACCCTCTACTCAACAGAATATGTAAAAAGCCTTCTTCAAGACGTGTTTATGACCCCATATTGAAACACATTTAAAGAATATGATATGGAAAAAGAGATTGCATTAATTTGCTTTACCCAAACAAATGTTTTAACACTAGAAGACTCAACAGGCAATTTTTATCCAGGGTCTCTGAAAAGCATCATTTAAAAATTATATGCATTACCAAGATGGATTAATCTGTGTGTTTAAGCATTCCTGTGCTGTGAGTTCCAGTTCTGAAATTTTTAAATTAGCAAATGGTAAATGAGACCTGTTTCTCAGGATGGAATCCCAGAACAGCTGTAGCCAAATTAATCAGTGGCTGTCAAAAATGCTGCTCTGAGAAGTATCTTCATACTTTATTCTAAATGTCCATTTATATAATATCATAATAATACAGAAACAGTTAAGTTCTCTCTCTACCTTTCACAGAGGAAAACTCAACTTCTCCTCTTAAATCAAGTGGAGTTGCTTCTATGAATAATAAAATGTCCTGTTTCCATACTTTACATTAAATTACAGGTGTGAGAAAAGGAATTCCTTTTCCTTTTGAATCACTAACGAGATACTCAAATGAAATCAAGAAGAATTTCACATTTTTATCATCATACATTAACTTAATAAAAGAAGCTGCACTGACAGTCTTGCAAAATCAATAACTTGTTTTCAGCCCCTGAATTGGGAAGCACGAACCCTGTGTAGAGCAATCATCTTCACAATTAGAAATGTCTGTAGAACGATAACACCATTATTCTACACTGTAACTTTGGAAAGTGCCAAATTACATGCATCTCTTCTCATCAATTAAGACTACAAGTACAAGAACGTAAAGACACTGGGGAACAGCATCTCTGCTGTAGACTTCTGCAGCCTAACTTCTATAGCAAGTTAGAAAATTAATTACTTTTATGTAAGTCCTATAAAAGCAACAGGTGAAATAGGAAGCTTTAACACTGTCGTTAAGATATTGATGCAAAACCACCATATTAAATAGATGTAGATTGAAATTCCATGATAAAATTAAGAACTTAACCAACCTTCACTCCCTAATCATAATCAATCTATCTGTACTTATCATTTACCAGTTTCAAAATGGATTAGAATGTAACTGCTTACTCCAAGAAATATTTGTGTACCATGTCAATGCAGGAAAATGTTTGAATCCTATCTATAATAGCGATGACCTTGTTCGATACCCAAAGAACATTTATTCCGTGCACATTTCAGTAACTAGTAGAGCCTTCTTATGGACATAAAGTGGATAACTCAATAGCAAACCAAACAAATCAGAGGACAGTGATTTCCACTAAGCAGAGGACATCACTTTGCACCTGACAGAAGCAGCTCTGCTTTTCAGTCTGAAAACTAAAATGCAGAGTGAAAACTGAGAGCCACATACTAAAATGCCAACATAAGCATCAGGAAACAGCCAAGAGACACAAGACCATCCAGTACAATTTGTAATTATTTCTAAAACATTTTTCTCTTTGACAATCATTTGCTATAGCTTGTCCAAGCATAGATTATTTGCTTCTTAAATTCAAAAATAAATTTTCTATCTAGTTTATTTAAAATAATCCAAGTGGGCACACAAACTAGACTCCCAGAATTCATGATTAAAAAGTGAGAGCAACTGAGCAGATGATGGCGATAATCTGGCAATTTGTTAACTCTCCACCTTTGATGAAAAGTAAGTCTATTACTGCTCAGCTTTTTTTCATTTCAGTTTTATGTTTATGAATTTTGCCAGATTTATTTGATTTTGTATAGAAAAAAGGAAGAGGCCAAAACCAGAGTTTATTTTGACTCTATCCAAGAGGATTTACAACTACAACTGGATGATGCTTTAGGACTTTCCACGCTCTGTTGCCTTTGGAATCTCATTTTAAAGACTTCAAAGGGCCTCTTAGTTACTAGAAAAGCCTTCCCGGAACCTGAATCCTAACGTGTCTGATCCTATCATATTCCATGTGTGCTCTAAACCCAGAAAGTGCCTATTTCTTCCTTTTTTTTTTTTTTTTTTCCAATGGATAAAGTTAAAAACAAAAAAGAAGAGGGGAAAAAAAGGGGAGGAAAAAAAAAAGTCTAGTGATATCTTGGCATGAATTGGCACACATTTCACCTCGGGAAATTTCTTCTATTTTCATCAAAACCAACAATTCAGTTTTCAGCATCACTAAACGTACTCTAACTCTATTTTGTCCAAACCTAAACTGAGGACAAAATACATTTTAAATGCATTGTAGCAGTTAAATAATCAAACCCACTCAGAAATTGAAATGATTTTCAATAGCATTTTATATATACTTGTTATGGTAAAACAGATGTTGGGATATGTATGTCATGCCATTATATCAAATTTTATTTTTGTTATTTAAATATATATTGCATACAGAAACAAAAGATTCAATATCTAAAAATCATAAAATATATTTCAAGGCAGGATTGTCAGCATGCCCAGCAAATTTCTCTCAGTAGCTTCAGAAGTAGTCAGGTACTGATGTACCGGATTCACTTAAGGATTATGCGCACTCCAATCAGATAGAAAGCCTGTCTTTGTGACTGCATTCCTGATTTTTCCAGGGTTTGTTGGTTCAACCAATGTGTTGGCCTAAGCGGAAGATAAACCTTGACATACTTTTGCCTTACCTTATTACTCTGCTTATCTGTTATTGTACCAGCAAGAGGTACAATTCACTCATTCTAATGGCAATATATGTATTTCCTCTGGAAACTACAATGCCAAGGATGGTATTCTTTGCTAATGAGACTA